TTTGCATGTTTACATGGAATGTACAAGGCTGGAGAGATGCTTAAATCTGTTACCTTGTGAAGTAATTTACCAATGGGTAACATGAGCAGAATTTATATATTTGAAGATTTTGTTGCTTAAGTATAGTGTTATTTCAAGCAGGATAATAGTATTTTTTTTTCTTGCTTCAGTATCTATGGTAAGTTGAATAGGCTAAATAGTTTTCCATCAGATTGATCATTCTTAATTTCTATTTCAAAGAGGTGTTACAACATAATAAGAATTTTGGTTGTGTGATTAATAAAGAATACTAGATCAACTTTCATAATCAATTGGGTTTTCAAAACAAGATAATTATTTAAAACATAAGATTTAGTATTACCCAGAGTTTCGTTTATTTCAAGTAGGTTTTATTGCTTAACATTACTTATATTAAGCTTTTTCATAAACTATTTCTTACATTTTAAAATAAATTACTGCATGGTACTACAATTATTTAATTACATTTAAAAAAAAGTTCCAATCTTTAAAATCTAAAGATGAGCAAGTTTAAATAAGTGCGAGTGCTACTTGAAAATAAAAAAGGTAATTTAATTTACTGAAAAGTATTGAATACATAATATAACCTATAATTATTACAAAGAAAAATTTTGTAAACTATTAGAAGATTAAATATCTTGTCATTTGCTCATACTTGAAGATCACGAGAAAATAGAAATATTAAAAATGTTGTTTTTTGCAGATAACTATAGAATAGTAATTTATTCTTTTATTGGTGTTCTTTAATAAAATACAGCTTATTAAGTACGTTTATTTCACGATGTATACAAGTGTAACTTCCTAATACAAAATGAAATTTTCACAACAAATTCTCATCCAAAATTTGTCTTACGCTCCTTGAAAAAAAGTTTTCACCTTTCAATATCTTGTTCCTAAAATATGCACTTTTACTGCTATAGAAATATTAGTTTTGATGAAAAGTTAAAAGTATATGAATGCAGCAATAAAATATAAAACTGATGTTTTTGTACGGACTTTACATTTTATTTGTACTGGTTTGTATCTACAATGAAAAACAAAACAAAAACTAATTTACAAAGTTTACCATACCAAAAATTTATAAAATTAAATTATTGTTATTATTATTAGTGTGGACAAAATTGATCAAAATTAATTTAAAAAACAAAACAAAATTAATAAAAATGAATAATCTTTCAGATCGAAATATTAAAAATAAAATGATACAAAGGGAGACTAAACATGAAACCTGAGGTACCACCTGAATATTAAATGAAAGTTATAAAAAACAGTATGAACGCACCAAATATTCTGTATATTACGGATTATGATCAAGATCTATGATACATTGAAATAAAACCTGTGTTAAAGAAAAAAGATCAAAATATCAGATGGACATGTCCATCTTTATCTTAGGATGGGGGCTGTAATCAACCACCTCAAAATCTTCATAGCGAAAATCATCAATTTTTTCAACTTGTCTTCTGATGTACAACTTTGGGAAAGGCCGTGGCTTTCGATTCAACTGAAGAAAACAAAAATAAAACAGTGAAAGAAAATATTAAGGCAACCCCCCCCCCCGAAACATGTAAAGTTTCTTCTCCATTATTTTGTATAAGGGTATCTATGATTGAATTGTGATAATTTTCAAAATTACAGAAATATTTCAAAGTTTTGCAAAACAAGTAAAATATTTAGAAAAAAAGAAGATACATTTTTAATATCAACTTAACTTTTACACATTTACAAATTCACATTTTTCACAAAAAACACTAAAGTCATACAAAAGTAAAGAAAACCTCTACATACTAAAGAGGGAGGACTTGTACTTCAAAAGTATTGCACTATATCAAAAATTAATGAAATTTGAAAAGATTAGAAAAAAAAAGTGAAGTCAGGTTCTTGCTATTAATCTACTATGTCTCAATTTCTACCACTCATTTCTTAACACTGAATATCTCTAAGGCAGTGTTTCTCATTCATCAGTCCACGGACCAATGCCTGTCTGTCACAACTGCATTGCCAGTCCATGGGTTTTTATAAAAACAAATATCTTACAGAACATACACCAGTAAGTCATAATGTTTTTTTGTTGCACTTGCATTTTAGTGATCTATGACAGTCAGATTTCTCACTTTCAAAATCGTCAAGATAATTGGGAATAAGGTCATTTGCCTGGCTCAGAAGTTCTTCCAGTAACATTCTAGCTTGCTCAGAAGTAAAGCCTATCAGAATTAGTGGACATGGTCATTTTCGTTTCAAAATAAGGGTTAAAAACACTCGCGTAAATCACTGAAAACACGTCCTTCTTCTATCAAATCGCCACTCAGATTGAAGATATTTCATTAACGGAACTAGTTCTAGTTTTAGATTGAATATATAAGGCATTCAAAATTTGGGATTGATCGTTAAACAGAACAAGACCTACATGCTGATATATCAGCAGCTCATCCAAGTAGGAAAACAAAACACACCGACATATCGCCTGCTCGGAGACACAAGAGTTAAGTAGACATCTTAACTGATTTTTGTAACATATAAAGTAATTTAAATCAATGTAGAAAGTTACTTATACGATTTGGGAACCACAAGTTTGACAGACTAGTACTGATGACCATAATCTTCTTAGCATTCTCTAACCGTTTCTTAACAACAGGTTTGCAGTGATTTTTTCTTTGAGATAAATTTTTCATAGAATAGCTATGTCAGTGTTGTTCCATTCCTCTTAGACAAATTTCCATATGTTATCTAATTAATTTCTAAATTCAATTAATTTATTACTTAAATAGACCAAAGGCATCAAAGTCGACTGGGTTCCAACTGGGTGATTTGATAGGTAGATATGTAAAGTGAGATTGCCGCAATTCCAATTTTTTCAGCTACCTGTCTCATGTAGCTGGAAGCTTGTAACGTTTTGGTTTTAGAGCTTTCACTACATTCAAGTCCTTGTTTATTATCTTAATACCATGAAGAGATATGTCCAGTTTCATTACAATGGATAGGAGGGTTCTCTTACAACTTTAGATTTCATGTCAGGGATAAAGGTGTTGTTCCAGATTAGCTTTGTGTATAGTTTTGGATCTCACTGATGTTCTAAATGCTTTGCCCTTTGGCTTTAAGTCATTTATTAATACTACAATAAGCAGTTCATAAAATCCCTCCAGCCACAATCAAGTTTTGGAGGCAAACAAAAGTAACCAATACGTTATTCCATCGGGAGGGGGGCAATTACAGGATTATTTACTGATTATGTAGACGCATGTAAACTACCTCCTGTTCCCTGCAAACCTTGGGATAGTGCCAGAACTATGACCATATGATAGACCAGTATCTGTTCTGCATATAAAAGTAAACTATGTTGATCAGGTTTGTAAAATTAGTCAAAATACAATTAAACCTCTTTAAAATTATATTTAAATATGTGCTTTTCATTTGTTAGTTGTGAATCAAAAAATTTAACTAAAATTTACAACAAAGATATGGCAAGAATATTATGTTCAAGATGGTGATATATTAGTAAATACATAAGAAAATCTACATAGATTTTTTAACACTAACTTTAAGTACCTAATTTATATTTAATTACCTGTATTTTCAAAGCATCAATGTGGTTTAAGTAAACATGGGCATCTCCAATAGTATGTACGAAATCTCCTGGCTTCAAACCTGTTATATGGGCAATCATGTATGTCAGAAATGAATAACTGGCAATGTTGAAAGGAACACCAAGACCCTGTAAAATAAAAAAAATAATTTATATTATTTGAAACATTTTCTAAAAAAAAAAAAAAGCTCATCTCCTGACTTCATTTACTGTGTATATTTTGATCTTTATTGCAATTTAATATAGATATATCTTACCATGTCTCCAGAACGCTGATAGAGTTGACAAGATAGTTCACCATCACAAACATAAAATTGTGCCAAACAGTGACATGGAGGCAAAGCCATTTTTCCAAGATCTAGAAATTACAATGACAAAAATTAACCATCAAATTCTCAAAGCACAATATTTATAATTCAAATCGTTTAATATGCTGTGGGCTAAAGATTTCTAATAGGTCTGGAGATTCACATCCGTTTCACAACTTTGGGGGACAAACAGAAACATTGATTTTTTGGTAATTTGGGGGGGTGCTGATTTAAAAAAAAATGTAATGTTCTGGATCCTAAAATTGTGCATTAATGTCCAGAGAGTTTCATATTAACCCTTTGTTTGACACTGACTTGAGGCTTTTCTGACTATGATCTAACACCAGAAAGAGGGTTATAAGGGCAATTTCAGGATGTTGACTCACAAATGGACCATTCTGGAGTATTCTGAATAAGATTAAAAATTTTGTTCCAACCTGTTTTACATTAACACTTTCTATGGCAAACAAAAATTGTACATATAATGCAAAATAAGCGATATTGGCAATGGAACATTCTATATTCAATGTCATTTTGCAAAGGTTCTCATCCAGCTTTTAAATATCTAATTTTTTTTTTGTTTGCCACATGTTTGAGATTTATAGAATGTTTGTGGCAATTAATCTACCAGTAAATCATCTACATCATTTCCATGGATGTTTCTGACATTCTCTTTAACAGGCCTATTGTCAAAGTGTTTATTCTATATATGTCTCTCCTTCGTTGTTTATTTTTTCATGACTACTGTTTCACATAAGTCAATGAATGCCTCCTCATGAGACTTGTCTACCTCAGCAGATGATACCAGGCATCTAGTATATGCCTTACAGCATGATTATAGTATTGAGTTTCTTTGGCTATTAGGTCAGTATGTCTAATTTTCAAAAGGATCTTCTCATGCTGCTTCATATCTGCAGCTCTTTTCAGGGCATGTTCAGCTTCACATGTGACACATGATGTCAAACTCTCTGCTTTTCTTTTCTGGGTGTACCCATTTGTTACAAATCTCATGATTTCATTGCAATTCGAACACTCTTCAAGAAAGATTTAAACGATCGTGCCTACCAGTCTCTATACTAGCAGTACATGGTTTAACATCAGGACTAATTCCAGTAGAAGGTAGATTGGTTGACCTTTTTTGATCCAAGTGCTGACCGTACCAAAGGTTTGGGCCTGGGCTGCTCCAGCCCTGAAGTAGCAGAACCATCAGTTATCTTTGGGAGACTGGCTGCATTCTTAGCTGTCTCTAACCGTTTTTTTGGCACTCACTATTCTTGTTACATCTGTAACTTTAGCACAGCACCTGCGATGGTACCCAAAGCCTAGTCTTTCAAAACTTTTCAAACATGCAACACAGGATGAATTACCAGAGTCAGAGAATGGGAACACATGATCAGCACTGTCCTGTTTTCAAAGATACAGCAATATCTCTCTCCCTGCTGTCTAGGGTAAACCATTGTTTAACACATTCATAAATTTTCTTGAAACTTGTAGGTGAAAGCCTTGTAAAGTTACTTTCTTCTTACACAATAACATGAACACAACAGCTCATGGAGGCTGCCATGTTGAAACAATGCATCAGTGTAATCCGTTAATTGGTAATTCAGAGACACCTATGAGTCAAATGTGTACGTTTTTAATTAATTACAAAACAAAGACTTTAGATGGAAAAAAATTAACATTTTTCAAATGCCTATTACCAATTTATGTGCACATATTTTTTCCAGAACATTAATTTTTGCAACATTTGGCAACTGGTCTACATATTATAACCTAAAAATATTGGTTTCCTTCAGTTCTCAAACGAAAGTAAACATTTTCTGCCTATGGCCCATGGACTATAGGAGGTATGAATGGATGATTTTATAACGTCTTTAATGGAAGGGTAATAACAGACTCACGTTATCTTACACATTATGTAAAGAAATATGCTACACTTTTTTCTTTTAGTATTATAATTCATTAATACCCCCTTTTACATCATATTCATAATAAATATTTTATAAAATAACTTTTGTAGAGAAAACACTGACAACATGAATTACTTTTTTTCTCTTGATTAGAAGAAGATAAAAAATGCTACTGTTACATCTGTATATTTGTATAAAGATGAGATAATATTTGAATTTTGTAGTGAGTGAATTCTACATCTGAATGCAGAATTTCTGACTAGTATTAGCTGATTTTTTTATAGGTATTATGAGGTTGGACTTATAATCCAAAGAATTTCAGTAAAAATTGATGTTTGTAAAAAAGCTGCAAAATTAGCAAATTTTTAGTTTTATTGGAATGCTCAGAGGAATTTAAATAATGTTTGGTATTTACATTTGAGTTTTTTCATGGCCAAAACATTTAGTTGCTGATGTACAGTTGGGGTAATATTGCATAGGGTTTAGCAACACTAACCATTTAAAACTAAAGGAATAAAATAGTATAGTTTCAAAGTATGTTAAACTGATCAAGAAAGTTTGTAACAGACAAAGTGACAACTCTAGGGTAGAGAACATGCAAAAATCACTAAAATTTGCAGCTAAAACAATGGTAACAATATAGAGATTTGCAAGTAAGTTCTATTAACGTGTAAAGTTTTGATATAAATGACTGCTCTGGTTGCAACCCTTGATGTTAATATTCTGGACCTTTTGCAATGATGCATGCAGAGGTTTTTGATGATAATAACAATGAACGATACTTACAGTTGTAGAATTCACAATTTGGTAATGTTTCTAGCATTTGAACAACATATTGCCCAAACTAAGTTTTGATATTTATATATCATATTATCAACAAACACACTATTTATATTTTGAAACTTATTTTGATACTTTTTTGTAATTTTATTATTGACACTATTATACTAAGTTTAAATTCTGGAATACACCTAAGTAGTAACAGTAACATTCTTTGGGACAAACATAATTAGTAAATACAACACGTGCTGCACTTAATGACAACTTTAATCAAAATCATGAAAATAAAATAAGTGATGTAAAAGATATAGCGTTGGACAAATTTTTTATTCACAACATAGTTTAGGTTCTAATAATAATTAAATTGGTTTCACTTGTCTTGGTAATATATTCTTTGGTACCAATTATACCTAGAGTATAAATTTGCCCTACCCTGTACTACATAGTTTGCATACACATATATTTTTGGAATTGGTAGCAAAAAAATCAACATGGTGGTGCACACAAATTCTGCAGGTAAAATACTCCTCTTATAATTATAGCTGTATAAAAAAATATATATTGAATAAAATAAGAAAACTATTAGTGATCGAAGTTTTATAACAAGTATGACATTTAAAAAAATTCAGAAAGTTGACCTTAATGACCAAACAAGTTTCTAAAACACTTATTCAGCCCTCTCTGAGGTTTACATTTGGTGAATGAAATCTTCAGTATCAGCCGAAGCACAGACTATCCTCACTCCAGTTATGGAGTCTTTCATGGTATGACTGTCAGTGCAAAGTCCAGATAGCATGGCACCATCTCTTAATTTAGAACCTTTAACCACAGAGGCAATAGGTCAACCTACTGCTATTTTTTGTGTGTATGTTATTTGGTTATTAATAATTATTTTGTTTCATTTTTTACACCAAGTTCCAAATGTAAAGAAGTAGGGATTGTGCTTTCAACATAAAGTGGAGATTAAGACTGTCAATTGCTACTCAACACCACAGCAACAGGACAAACAAAAACAACCCCATCTTAGCTTTAACATCCAGGTGTATAATTTAACAAACCAAGCAAACCACTGCATTCTCAAAGTAACTCAAAATTAATTAAAATATTTACATAAAATGAGGAAAAATATTAATTTTTAAAGTACAGTCATTGAGAATAAATGATATAAAAGCTTAACATGAGATGTTTTTTGTGTTTCTAATTAAATTTAATATTGTTGAATATATTTATATACATTTTTAACCCTGATGTTTAGTAACAGTAATCACGTCTAATACTGTTGTTACATAGTATCTTCCCAGATGATAATTTCTTAACAGTTAATGAATAAGCCAACTAAATTACTATCTTAAATATCTGCTTAACACTAGAGAATATGTCTACTATCTTTCGATGACGAGGAACCCACTTTGAGACTAATAATGGTTGGAGATGGCTTGAATGGGTAATGAAGAAAACTTTAATATAAGTTTAACATAACAGCAAATGTACAAGGTTTTTGTCATCATCAGGTATCTTGTCGAAACGTTGTACAT